ACACAGGAGCTGCCGCTGGCCGTGCGAGAAGTTCGTTCCGCCGGGCGATACCCTCTCCCCCAGTACATTGCTCCTGTCTGGCGGGTTGCCCTGCGGGTTGCCCTGCGGGTTGCCCTGCGGGTTGCCCTGCGGGTTGCCCTGCGGGTTGCCCTGCGGGTTGCCCTGCGGATTGCCCTGCGGGTTGCCCTGCGGGTTGCCCTGCGGGTTGCCCTGCGGATTGCCCTGCGGATTGCCCTGCGGATGCAAACAGGTCGACGATGAGGAGGAAGACCAATGGACGTGCTGCAAGGCGCGCAGCACGGCGTCGTCGGTGTGCTCGTCGAACGGATCGAGGTTCGAGCGGATCGTGCCGGTGAATAGCACGGGGTTCTGCGGGATCATGGCCATGCGGGAGCGGAGGGTGGCTAGTGGGATGGTGGCGATGTCGTGGTTGGAGATGATGATGCGGCCTTTGCTTGTGCTGTTGGTGCTGCTGGTGCTGGAATGGGAGTGGGAGGGGTCCAGGAAGCGGAAGAGGGCCAGCGCGAGGCTGGATTTGCCGGCGCCGGTGCGGCCGACGATCCCGATTCGGTGGCCGGAGGGGATGTGCAGGTTTATGTTGTGGAGGACGGGTGGGGTGGCTGGGGTGTAGGAGGCTGTTAGGTTCGTTATGGTTATGGTTCCGGTTTGGGGCCATTCGGGGGGAGGGATGATTCTTGAGCTGGGGGAGGGTGGCTCCTCGGTGGGAAGGTCGGAGTACTCCAGGATGCGCTCGACGGCGTTGAGGTCCATTTCTAGGGTCGAGTAGGCGCGGCTGAGCGAGACCAGGGCGAAGGAGAGGTGGTTGGTGAAGACGAGCGCGAAGCCGGCCATCGCGCCGGTGATGTCCGCGCGGTTGACGACGGCCAGGGCGGTCACGGTCGAGAACACCGCGCCCAGCAGGTTGATCCGGAAGGTGAACCAGCGGTTGAAGAGGTAGAGGTGCCACGAGGCTTGGGCTTGACGGTCCAGTTTGTTGTGTAGCGCTGCGATGTACCGCTTTCGCTGGTTGAAGGCCCGGATGGTGGTGATCCCTTGCAGGCAGGTGGCGATCTGCTCGTAGACCGGGCTGCGTGAGATGCTCTCCAGGCGTTTGATCTCCCGCGCGGCCGAGAGGTACCGCTTCGTGTACCATGTTGCTGCGGCGGCGAGGAGCACGGCGAAGATGAGGAGGATCGGCCGCACGAGCACTCCGCCGGTGATCACGCCGATGCAGTCCATGCCCGCGTTTAGGACGGCCGTCAGGTCGAAGCCCAGGCGTGAGTCTACGAGGTAGAAGTCGGCGGTGAAGCGGTTGAGGAGTCTTCCTGAGGGGACCTTGTCGAGCCAGAGCAAGGGGGCGCGCAGGACCACGGAGAGTAGTTGGCGGAAGAGGCGAGATGCCGCGTTCAGTGAGGTTCGGAGAGCAATGTAGGCGCGCAGTGAGCCGGCGAGACATGACAGGATGGCGATCGCGGTGTAGATGCCCAGGTGGTATGCCGTATCGCTGCCACCTGAGCCGGTGTCTTTGGTGATGCCATCCCTGCTCCAGATCTGAATCCACCAGTACTGATACCGAGTTAGTTGAGTATGTGCAATGAGAACGGGACACATACCTGAGACAGCTGTAATATGTTGTACATCACGTAACATCCGGCGAGAACAGCCCACGATGCCCATCCTCCGCTCGTCTGGATGTACCTCCGAAACAACCACCACTGGAGAGCACCTTCGGCTCGAGACTCCTCATCGACAAATCTTTTCGGTACGGTAGGACTGCCAATGTCATCAACCCCACCATGTTGGCTATCAGTCTTGTCATCGACCTTTTCATTTTGTTCCTCGTTTATGGGCACAGCTCCCTGTGGCGAGGAACTGTTGTCTCTTTCAGAGTGGGATCGAACCACCGAGTGTGCATATTTGACGGTCCAATTCTCAAGTTCGACCAGATAGTCAGCCTTGGAAGAGCAAAGGTCCACATTGTGTGTGACCAAGATCCTTGTTCGTCCCTCACCAAGCTCCCCGGTGATGGCATGCTTGAAGAGATGACTTGCGGTGTGCACATCCACGGCACTGAAGATGTCATCTAGCAGCAGAATGCCGGCCCGCGAATACAGAGCGCGCGCTAGACCAATGCGCACCTTTTGCCCGCCGCTTAGATTGACTCCACTGGGCCCGATTTCAGTAAGATCCCGATCGTCCAACAGGTCCAGATCCTGCATAAGAGCGCATACAAACAGCACGCGTTGATACCTCGCCTGGTGATAGGGTAGGCCGAAGAGGATATTATCCCGAATGGTGCCAGCTTCTATCCACGGGGTCTGAGCTACGTAGCCCACTGCTGAGCTGAGACACCAGTCCTCCGGATTGGGTTTTGAGTGGTATATTGCCTCATAGGTCGGGGGAACAGGACGTCGTATGGAACCAGACAAGACCTCGCACTCGCCTAGAATGGCGCTAAGTAGCAAGGTTTTGCCGGATCCAGTGCGGCCGGACACCACGCTCAAGCCCTTCAGAGGAAAACTGAGGGTCACGTTTTGAAGGGTGCCGGATTCCGTTGTAGCTGATTTACTGTAAGATAGAGTGGCATTCTCCAATTGTATCGAGCGGAAAGGCGTGGTGTTCCCCGCCGCTTGAGCCGAGTTGAAGAATCTCGCCATCCGCCCAATGCTCACCTTCGCGCCCACGAGACCGGAAAGTAATTCAGGAACGAGGCCCAGAATGAATTGAATATACCCGAGTGTGGACAAAGCTGGGAAAGCGACGGATGGCGTGAGTGGGCCTTGCTTCCAGCTATAGACGCCCAAGGAGACGGCGGACACCATGACTGGCCCGAGCAGGTGGATTGAGAGGTTGATTACATGCCAGAAGAATGCTCTCTTCTGAGCTTCTACTTCACGGTCGCGAAGAAAGTTCATCCTGCGTTCCCATTTGACCTCGAGCCCAGCAAATTTCACTTGGCGAATACCCTGCAGGACCTCGGTCAGAGTCGACACCTTGTTGTCGCGACTATGCATGAGGTCTTTCTCGACAGCCGAGTATTTCGACAAGCAGAGAGAATGAAGTGGATAGAAGAGGGCAAGGCAGGTCAGTCCCGCCAGCAAGCTTCGCCAACCCAGAAGGTGAGCCAGGAACGTACACGCCACGGCGAGCTTTAGTGCCTGGAGAAGGTTCGAATAGAGAAAGCCCGCGACAAGAGCAATGCGTGACGCATCGATGGCTACCAGGTTAATCACATTCTGGGTACTATCCGGTGAAGTCTTATCATCGCCCTCATCAGCGGAAGTCTGCAAAGACAAGCGCATGGACTTGCTGAAAGCCGCTGCAGATAGCTGCGTCGTCAATGGCACTGAGATCCAATTCAGGGCGGTCCATAGGAGCCAGTTCTCGAGCCACGAGGATACCCCAATGCTGAGGCCAAGTAGCAGGGCCCAGACATTAAGTCCGTCGTGTCCCGCTGCGTCTGCATCCAGGAGTCGTAGCATTTCGCGTAGTGCTAGCTGTGGAGCAAAGGCTAGAACTGCCAGTGGCACGGATAGCAGGAGCTGATGGACTAACTCCCTCCAATACAGTGATAGCAGCCCCTTCACTAGCTTGGATGGGGTCGTTCCAGAAGCGTCAAGCCTAGCCTGCATTTCCATGAAGTCAGTCTGCAAGTGATTTGCTCGCATTCTATCGCTCAATTCGGGAAGCTCATCCAGGCTGATTGATGTATGCGACGCACAGAGTGACACTAGCGATGTCGCCCACTGAAATGAAAATCGCCCAAGCACAGAGGAGATTTCCTCCTCGTCAATTGGTCTTCCATTGCGGAACGCTCGAGCATTGCGTGGATAAGACAAGGATGTGAGAACTACAATAGTCCCCAATATGTAGACCAGCCACGCGAGAGGCGATGCAGCAGGTGGTTGATCTACCATGTCTCTCCGAAGTGTGTTCTCTAGAATCATATGCCCAATTAACAAGCAAGCAGCCAGTCCTCCCTTCCAAGCCGCAGAGTACCGGATTTGGAGAGAGGCTTCGCTTCGGAGATAATTCCATTGTATGGAGAGCAAGAGCTAGGGCACACTAACTTAGCATGGAACCACACAAAGGGTAGTTGTAAGTCTTACCCATGAGACGAGTTGTATCGAAGACGTCACTTTATCGAAGGCATTGCCGGCGAATGTGGCTCGCACGAGCGAAGCAGCGCAGACGCATGCATTTGCGGTGAGCAATAGATACGGTCGAGGGTCATTGCGAAAGACCCCTAAAAGACCTATCGAAGCATTGTGAAAGGCTCCTACTCTCTGGTATCCGTCAAGCAGCGCGTTTGGCGAACATCCCTTAGAAGCATAGTGAAGAGTATCCCTCAGAGCGGGGAAGCATACGATGGCGACCAAGGCTGCAATAAGTAGATTGAATACCAAGCTGAGGGTGTCGGAAAGAGACATGATGTAGTCCTGGCCATCGTGACTGTCCTCGATCATGCACTTATCCTGGTGTTTTCATTCCAGACACGACCCCGAGCAAGGGGGGATCAACGAGGAGGAGTCGAGCACTTGGCACAGATTCATTATGAGGGAAGGGAGGCATCGTCGTTGATGGACTTCCCCGCAGTGAAGGATTCATAGAAAATTACCACTACGTGAAGTAGAGAGTAATCATTGGTGCCGATCAATGTATGTATTCCATGTAATACGAGGGAATTGATTTGTATTGCGAGCAGTGCGGAGTAGAAGGAATCATCCCTCTTCGGGGAAAGTCGGAGGAGCGCCGCCATGAAGTATTCACCGCCCGGCAGATTGTATAGTGTAGCCTGAGGCATCAAGGCCGACAGTGCGGACGGAAGCTCGCAGCGCCGAGGGGCTCGTGCCCAATCAAAAACTGGCAGGCTATCAGATGGTCCGATGGCCCGATCAGATTAGATAAATCCGAACTTGGAAGTCGGTCCCCCATCGCCCGCCCATTCCACTCACTCACACAAATACCGCCTACTCCTACTCCTAGTCTTCCAGCCTGAATCCACTTGGGTACTGGCATTTCGCTTCAGCATGATCTCTGGTCTCTGAGAATTCGCGCAGGCTGGCATCGCTCGCTCAATCAACTTCCAAGAACTCACCGCATTTTCCCTGCCACTTTCTAGCGAGCCGGTTTTCACTCACAGCGGGTCTCAGAAGGTCGAATGGCCGGGCGCAGAGAGGATCTCGTGCGAAAGTCACCTCACCTGGCATGACCCACAACCACCCTTAAGACCCCTCTCTCCCTCGTTCTTCCTCATTACCCCTCCTTCCAGTCATGTTAGCACTCGGTGGGCTGATCCTCTTCATTGTCTATAATACCTCGCTCGTCGCCTCCAGCTCCCTCCCCAAAAACGAACGCTGCGTAACTGCGATCTACACTGCCTATGGATACATTACCTTCGCCGCGCACCCCGACGTGGGTTTTTGGGAGACCCGGTGTCACAACCCGCTAGAGGTCACCTCCATCTACGCCTCTTCGGACATATATTGCCGCCCAGCGGAGAGAGAAGCAGGAATTGCACAACTGGAGAGGTCATGCCGAGAGTACGGGGATGTGGACCTGATACCGCGAGAGCAGCTGGCCGAGAACCTCACCCGAGATGCTCTTCGTCGCATGCCAGTTGTCAAATATCTGGAGATACCGAGAAAGCACCCTGTCAACACGCCGGTTTTGCTCGCACCCAGTCATTATGACATTGTCTTTAACACTATTGTGCGTTGCCTCCTCATTGTGTCAACTGCATTCTGATTAACGTTCTGGCAGGATACTTGGGAGTTCGAAGTATGGACTCATTACGCTTATGGGTAAGATTGGACTTTCCCTTCAACTGAGCTTCTCCTAACATCAGCAGATTGGCTGGGTACGGATTCTGGTTATGCATACTCAGCTTAGGCATGCTTCAGCGGCTAGTACATCACATTATTCAATCTCAGGTGGTGCAAACCAGCTATAGGTCTAGCTCAGGACTACGTCGACTATGCTTGCCCACACAGAACCTCCGCCACTGGATACAGGTGTATCTGGTGGTTCCTCATCCTCTACAACCCCAGAGCCGCAAATTGCTCTGGTGGACCTTTCCCACACGCCTAGACGCGATAGTTGTGCTTATCTTCTGGGCCTTGAGCATTGCTGTGTGTACCGTGAGCTATCGACTCATCCCGGATAATATCTAGTAAGTCTTTCGACAGAGACAGCGGAGCATTAGCTAACTGCTCATCTCAGCTGGCCCGATAAACAATCACAGCTCCTCCGATACGCAGCGGACAGAACTGGGATAGTATCCTTTGCCAACATTCCATTACTCTGGCTCTTTGCGGGCCGCAACAACATCTTCATCTGGGCAACAGGATGGAGCTTTGCCACTTTCAACCTGTTCCACCGCCACGTGGCCTGGATAGCCACCATTCAGGCTGTTGCTCATACTTTCCTTTACCTCTTCATTATGTACGAGAGTAAGTTGTTTCCCTTGTGATACTGCTGGGAGATAGCTGACGATACTTACAGAGGGCAGACTGCTCAAAAAGCTGACGAAACCATATCTGTTATGGGGAACAGGGGTGAGTCTTGACACTTTATAGGGTCATCCACACCCACTGATCTTCATACAGGCAACAATCCTTATGGTTCTGCTCCTACCATTAGCCATCCAGTGGTTTCGGCACCGATCCTATGAACTATTCCTCATTATACATATTATATTCTCCGTTGGGCTTCTAGTTGGATGTTTCTAGTGCGTTCCCTACCATCAATTTGTATTCTCTCTACTAACCGCGTTCTCTTATCAGTCACACTATAATCTTCTCCGACCACGAATACTGGACCTACCTGTGGTCGGCAGTGGCCATTTGGGCCGTGGACCGGGCACTCCGTCTGATCCGCCTTGTCTACTGCAACATCCACGTGCGAGTCAATGCCGGAAACAGTATACAGCACAGCAAGAGCTTTGCCAGCTATGATGCGTCGGCAGACGTGATCCGGCTCGAGGTTACCCCCGGCTCGAAGCTTCTCTGCCCTACGCCAGGACAGTATTACTATCTCTACCAACCATTCCGGCTGACAGGCTGGGAAAGCCACCCCTTCACCCTGGGTCACTGGTACTACGAAGCCGACTACAAAGATGCATCCCCCACCCCACCACTAACCAAGGGCGACCATACGATCGACGTGACCCAGGTCCCCCTCCTCTCCGACTCCTCCTCCGAGTCCACATCGGCAGAGGCAATCCAGCTCAAACGTGACGCCCCTAGCGGCTTGAGACTTGTCTTCTGGATCCGACCCTACGACGGATGGACCCGCAAACTCCGCGACCAATGCATCCGATCCCCGACCCAGACCATAGACAGCACCATCCTTCTGGAAGGCCCCTACGGCGAGCAGTTCCCGCTCTGGAACTATGAATCCGTGCTCCTGATAGCCGGCGGAACCGGCATCGCCTTGATAATCCCCTACATCCATGGGCACCTCTTACGTACATCAGAAGACCCCGACCAAGCATCTACCCAGATTCGAGACATACAGCTCGTCTGGGTCGCGCGACAGGCCGCGTTTATCCGACAGCTTGCCGCCCGCGAGTTAGCACCGGCCTTGACGCGCGATGACTTCCGAGCATCTTTCTATGCCACAGCCAAGCAAGCTCCACACGACCCGGATCGGTTGGAATCCATGGATGAGCTAGAGGTGGCACAGGGACGACCGAACGTGGAAAGCCTTGTCTTAGCGCATGCGCATGCAGCGCAACTCAGCGAGTCGTCTGTGGCGGTGTTGGTGTGCGGTCCGACAGCCTTGGCAGATCAGACTCGGGCTGCGGTGTGCTTGGCTTTACAGCGGGGGTATCGGGGGATCCGCTATGTCGAGGAGTCGTTCAGTTGGTAATGTGTCACGATTTATGACTGACTTTGATGTGTCCTTTGCGCTTGTACAGAAAGACTGCTTAGATATTGAATTCTTGATTGTTAGGTATTGGTGTTGGCATATATAGAGATGAACAGTTTTGCAGATATTGAGGTAAGCACAGAAGGTATGATGCCACTATAGCCCTATGGTTGTTTATTTATAGCTAGACGGTTGCTATGAGAAGAGGAGTGAAGGATTTGTCTACTCCATACTGTCTTAGTGAAGAATGCATATGGTATATCATTCCGGAAGGTGGTCTAGCATAGCTATAGTACTTCAATGGTATGACCCCAACCCAGTCTCTATCACATGGCCACCTACAAGTGACTCGCGACAGGGCGAATACTCGGATTTGAGTTAATATCTTAAGGCCAGGAAGAAATGTGAATTCCCATCTCAGTAACTGGTGCCAAAAGGATACTTGAATCATACAGGCAGTATATGATTCACTCTATAATTTGTCTTCCCCTTTCCCCATATTTCCTTCTTTATAACCATCCTACACTCTTCCATTCCATCTACATCCATAGCATCTGGTTCAACAACCTCACTGCGAGCTTCAACGGAAACAACTCCTCTTTACATTATACCAAAACCCAGAGCTGAACGGCTGTTACTCTGAAGATACCCGTCTATACGACATGTTATCAAGGTATCAAGTACTCTCGTCTTCACACAACAGAGAATGTATAAAGCGACCTCTGCATCTCATATCTCTCCAAACACACCTGCCACAACGGATCGCAAATAACGAACCCGTCGCCGCAGTTCGAGGGCCACGATCCATAGCATTACTGCTACTACCACTACATTCCTCCTCTCTTTGCGCATTCATGCAGAAGCTATCTTGATTCCACTCGATATCTGGATAATCAATCTACGGAGAAAAATGGACCTAAGATAGCCACCAGAGCCACCTCACTCGTTGCGAGTCTGTCTCCTAAAAAGAGCATCTGTTCGACTCTACGCAGTGCTCGGTCGCTGTGGTTGCGGCACCAAGCCTGGCTAGAAGTGGGCTTGTGACCTGCCGGGTATCTTCAGTCCGTTTGGCTCATACCCGGTAAGTCTATATGGTATGAACGACGGCAGATCAGTACTCCGTCGCTTGACAGGGCGTCGCGGGGCTTCCCACTGGGTTTCGCTTTTGTGTCAGTCCTTGATTGACCCTTTCTCAAGCTTCCCATTGCTGCGGTTTACAGTCCCAGCCAGAAAAGGTCTCACACGCTGTATCGGCGCGGGCTGTGGCGGATCTAGCAGTGACCCGCCTGGAAGTCTCAGTGGTTGCTCTTGTCCGTTGTCAGTGTGATGTACTATCAAAGGGGTCCAGGTTTCTATTACAAGTTTGGAGCTGAAAGGCGGAGGGGAGAAGGTCCATTGCACAAAGGTCTTGGCTTCCAAACATCAGTACTAATGATAGATTAAAGCCAGCAGAGTCGACTATCTCAAGAACAGAGGTCATTCCGATTGCCAGGAATTGGCCGCAAACCTTCTTTGATGAGGAGGGCTTTCAGAGATCCCTTCTTTAGGGGAATGAATCTCACTGCGTGAAACTTTCCTTCTGCTGTCCAGCAGCTTCTCAGGAGAGGTACGGCCATTTACAACACCTGTGCTCGACGTCCGAATCATGACTCGGCACGTGGCTCACTCAATACGGCCTCTGCTTTCTCCGCTCGCATGTCGTGCCGTGCTTGCACCTATGCACATGATACTTCAATACCAAGCGCAGACCAAATGGGAACCAAGCGGAGTTTAACTGGGGCTGCATTTGGCTAAGCTTAATCTAAGCATGTTTAACCAGGAATGGACATTCCCCAAAAGGCAAATAACACAGTGGGTATAACACTCCAACCTTGCATCGGCGAACACGGATTGTGATGCCAAGAGTTGACTTAGGAGATACAATCCCACATCAATGCTCCATAATCTAATACCACGGAATGGCTCTTTTAAGATGCCATATAACGCGGTGCAAAATTTGACGATGGAACGTAAACACCATCGACAGCGAGATACAGATGACACCATCGAGTTCCTAGCCGGCGTTTCATAGACACTCGCTGTCAATGGGCAAGAATGTCTCAGAAAGCCGGGGTCTACTGATCTGCACCAGAATGAAAACTGGGCAGATGGGCGAAAGCATTGATGATCAGATGCTGCAACCACTGGGATCCGAGAGAGATATGCCAACTCAACTCAATTATCTGGGAGATGGCATTAGCATGACTTTAGCATTCTAAGGACATCAATGACAGCAGGAATAGCGCTGTCAACAGGACTCCACTGATTATTCCGTGCGGGATGTCAATCGATGCACTGTGTCGAAATATCAGGATCATGCACGGCAAACCCAGCCCTAATCTCCTCCTACAGAGCTCACCCCAACCGACCCCACCGGATGGAGTCAGTAAGCAGGGGTACCTTAGTTATCAACAACATTTCCTCTGCTTTATTTGGTCCAGAGAAAACCTGACATTTGGCTCAAGACGTGCATTTATCTGAGAACATCTGGAAAAAAACACTTGCACCAGTACGAACGTCCACGCTGGACGGAGAGGAGAGGTTCATGATCTACTTCCTATTGTCGATGATTGAAAGCCAGCCGAGGGTGCTGTAGATCGCTCGATCGATTGCATATGGGGAATATCATTGTTGTATCTTGTCCTATGGAAATTCATATTATTATCGGGTCAAACAATACTCAGGAGAGTGATTAGACAACTGCGTCGAGTCGGATAGTGAGAAATTGATAAAATTACTAGAGGCTGCAAGTCGCCAAGCAGTGCGGTATCTGTAGCGAGGGCATGACAAGGGGGGATATCGAATCATGAACACCTGGTAACTTCGCTTTTGGTGCCCTATAATACATCCTCTGACTCGGGACTCTGACTCTTTCTGTTAGGTTACAGTTTTGCTTAACACATTGACAGGCATTTAAGGTGTTCACTTCTTGTTCGACGATCACTATGAAGTGATGAATTTTCCATCGGGCCTAGTTCTGCTTAGGCAAAGGACAGGCCACTGAACACGTACAGAAGAATAGACTAGTTAAATAGTACTGATGGTTAACTTCTAGGTACAACAGGCAGCAGTGTTCACCGCCCGCCCGCCGCCAGGGCCATGTTGATACCTCGCGTAGCCTGAATCCATCATCCATCTACATCTCCCGGCATTCAGGACTCGGTCACAGATGACATGCTTGAACTACGAAGCAATCTCCGAGTCGCTTGCGCAGTTCCCTGTTCACTACGGCTTTCATCGCCAAGCACAACAGGCACAAGCCCACTTAAGCATCGGAACGGAAGACGTCGCCCTCTCGCAGCATTGCCCTAGACCTTCGAATCCGAAGATCTGTGTTCGCTGCTATGAACTTCCATGGTATATCAGGACATGGAATTGAGATCGTATCACAAACAGCAATCTCCTCACTCATGGCTCGACTAGTTGGAGGGTCAGAACAACCATTATGATTCAACGCCCTTTCAGTGGACTGTGCCAGACTCGGAGAATTGGCTTCGCTTCTAACGAATCAGGTATGACGAGATATGAAGCTATATAGCTGCGATTCGGGTGTGAACAGAGGAGAGGGTCAAAACGGGAAGGGAGAATGCGGCAGGGATATTGAAAAAGGTTAATGGTATGAGACTTCTATCAAATTATCTAAATCTAGTCACTGACGTCCCAGCGACAAACCAATCGACAGCGATCAGGGAATATCCCTGCTAGGCTTCGGTCTCCGCATTGGACGACTCCACCGGCACGATATCATCACTTGGCTCGAAGGAAACGGTATAGTCGGGCCAGCGGCGCGGAGGACTGGTCGTGAACCCGAACTCCAGCTGGCACAGCCGCAGAATCCACTTGGCCTCCCCCTTGGGGTTGTTGACGATGCCGATCCAGCCGACCAGGGGCACGGGCATTTCATTCTCCCCCTTCTTCTCCGAGTGCAGCATCACCGAGGTCGCGGTGTACGTCGGCGTGAGCAAGTACGAGTTCACCTGGGGGTCATTCGGGCTCATGGCCTCGATGGCAATCTGATCAGCCTTGGGGATATCGGTCAGCCACACCGCGGCGTGCTCGGCGGTCTCCCCCGGACGTCCTCGGATCAGAACCTGCTTGCGCTCCGCTCTGGCGGTGGGAGTCTGGCGGTTCACCCGCCAGCGCACCCCGAACGCGTCGCGGATGTAGCCGGCGCAGTTGAGGGGGTAGCGCGCGGCGCCTCAGACCGCGTTGCCGGCGAGGATGAACGGCCACCCGTACTTGCGGGTGCTGGCGAGCTCCTTGATGGTCTTCCAAGCGTCGCCGTAGGTCGTCATGAGCTGTGGGTCGGCCAGGATTATCCCGTGGATATTGTCCCTGGCGGCCTCGACCAGCGCCACCAGGTTGTCGATGCTCTCCGCGCGAAAGACGACGGCGCGGGCCTCTAATAGCTTTATCACGGCAGCGACGTGCGCTGAGGGCTGGGGCCCAAAGAATACCACGATTATGGCCGGCAGGTAGATCTTCACGGCCACGGGGGTTCCATCCGGCGCTTCATGCACAGCATCGCCCCGCTCGTTGAGCCGGCCATGGATTGCATCTATTTCGTCCTCGGGGATCAGATCCTGGGTGTCCATTATTGGTCTCGGATTTTCGGGGACAACCACGACGTCCCGTTCGCCAAGGTCCCAGAAGGGTTGTGTCACCATGGTGTTTCCAGTAGAGGTAGTGTACTGATCTGTGAGTCTTTGATCTGTGAATGACAGTGATCGTCTGCTAGCACATTGCTAGCATGTGCTCATAATGAGCTATTTATAGTGAAATCTTGATCCTCGAAGGCGACATGAGTTAGCGGGAAGACTCGAGGGAGTACAAGGACAACGCTGCCCCTGAAGGACCTCAGGACGCGTACCTTTGTTGCTATAACAAACGAGCCTAAGCTTTTTGATAATGAATGGAGCTTCCCGCCAAATATTGATGGATAAAATGAGGATTGAAAGGTAAGGATACTGGGTACTTTACTGGTTCACTAATGTTGTTGATTGCAGGGTCGCAGAAGCAATTGTCTCTGATGACTCTCAGCGTTTGCTTTTCCGGTCGATGTCAAAGAGGCAGCTTCCCTCTTCGTCTGCCCGTCCATTCTTTTCAGAAAGCGCGAACTACAGGAACTAGTTCCTGGACTGGGAACAAAGAATTCATTCATCGAGTCATTCAATTTCCGCTATGCTATTGGCAATCCTTCGTTATGCTGCATCTCCTCGCTAAACAAACCGGAACGCCGTCCCTCATGCCTTTAGTCAATTTCATACGACGCTGGCTGTCCCCATTGATGTACCATGATAAATCTCACTAGCAATGCGACGGTGCAACCGCAGCTCTTCCTCATTCAGGCGATCTCCAAACACAGCCGCAATCTGTTCCAAGGACTTGCCCGAGGTCTCGGAAACGAAGAAGAATGAGAACACGGAGGCGGCCACACAGAAACATCCAAAGAAGAGATACGTGCCCCAACCCAGAGAGATCAGCATCTGCGGGACGATCACCCCGATGATGAAATTGGCCAACCAGATCATGGCCGTGGCAGCACCTACACCCTTCGCGCGCTTGTTGCTAGGGAAGATCTCGGCTGGAAGGATCCAAGCCAAGGGTCCGTATGAGGTACTGTAGGCGAGAACATAGATGTCTGATGTCTCTGTTAGTTTCGTTTCAACTGACTTGGAAGAGTGAAAGGCGGATACTCACAGATGAGTGCAACACAGAACCAGCTCACCCCTTCGTGCGCAGCCCAGTCGCCGCTGTACTTGTTCATGAGTCCTGCCATTATCAGGTGCGGCACAGCCATGGCGATACCACCCCAGATGGCCAGCGGGCGCCGTCCTGCGCGGTCCAGATAAGCCAGGATTGGAAGCCCACCCACTAACTGGCAAATGTTGATCATGCCTGCTAGGATCAACGACATGTTGCTATCCTGACCAAGTGCTGCAAAGAAAGTGGGCGCGTAGTATACAAACGAATTGATCCCCGAGAACTAGAAGGTGATTAGATATAGGTCATCACGACTCTCATGCTAGAGATATACTAACCTGCTGGAAGAAAGGAATGGCAAGGCCGACCATGGTGCGCCGAATATACTTGGCTTGAAAGAGGGAAGTCCACTGCTTGAATCCCACCATGACGGGACGAGACGCGTGGTCTGGAAACTCCTTGGCAAGGAGTTCTTGCTGCAGTCGAACTTCGGTCAGGATTCCCTTCCATTCGAGTCGGACGCGCTCGTCGGTCTGGGGCAGACACCGCAGCTTGGCCAAGGCGGCGAGACTGTCGTCGTCGCGTCCTCGCATAGCCAGCCAGCGGGGAGAGAAGGGGAAGAGATGAATGGCGGTGCCAACCAGCAATGCAGGGATCATCTGGATGATGAACGGCAGGCGGAAGGCCCAGTCGCCGGGGATCGATCTACTCAGCCGTTAGTCTACTCTCCATGACCGTCATTTAGCTGGCTCGAATGATTTACTTCGTTCCATAGGATATCCAGTAGGCCACGATGGCACCGACGACAATACTGATGGCTTCCAACACCAACAGAGAGCCACGCCAACGGGGAGGGGCAATCTCCGAGATATACAACGGCGCACCCATAGCAAGAGTCCCGACACCAATACCACCGATAAACCGGCCTGCAACCAACGTGGCATAGTCCGAGGCCGCGGTCTGAATGATGGCTCCAACCACGAAGAAGAAAGTGGCGACAGACAGGCCCCACTTGCGGGAGATCCGATCCGCGACAGCAGGGAAGAAAAGACAGCCAATGAAGGCGCCCAATTCCAGCATGGCGGTCATCAGCCCGGTGTTAAACCCGTAGTGCGCGTGGTCGGGCGAGACTTGAGGGAATTGTTGGCGGAACTGATTCATCTCGAGGATAATGGAGATGACACCTTGGTCTAGAGCCCCAGTCAGTAACTTTTCATCTCTCTGATCTCCGGATTGACACGTACCATAGCCAAAGGAGAAACCACCGATAGATGCCAACCAGGCTGCCCCGAACACATACGGCGACCGCATGAGATCGCGCAGCTGGCCATTGTCGTACTTGACTTCTGCCGACAGTATCTCCAGGGCATTATCCCCAACGAATTCATCGTGGACCGCCTTCTCCTTGTCCAGGGATGTGTCATCGTTCACAAGTGTTCCGGCATACTCATCATGGACAGCCGAAGTCTTGTTTTCCTTCTCCGGAGAAGCGTCTTCGATCGACATGGTGACACCTGCGAAACGGAATGGATAGAGATGAACTTCGTCGAGATGTAATGAATAGGAGATGCGCTTGTCCTGCAACAGACTGGAACATGCATTCAACCGGGGACACGAAGTGGGTATATATGCATTTTCGAGGGAAAGCAACCATCACCACCAGCCCCGACAGAAACTCACTCGCGGTCCATGGAAACCCAAGGAAAGCATAAACCAGGCCTATCCAGCTCCGAGCCGACAATTGACAGCCTACCTTTTCCTGCATGAGAGTCGGTGTAAACATGGGGAAGAACCCGGGGAAACGAGATGGAAACACGGGGGGGGAATGCATCCCACCCTCGTGATTGGATCCCCCCCTGGCCCGTGGCGATGATACCTTATCCGGCAAGCACTCAGCGCACCTAATGAGGAAAATTGCCGTATTGGGTAGACGCGCCAGCGACATAGGCTCAGCCAATGGCCGTGCAGGACTAGAGCAGGAATGGCCTAGTCTCGGGACGGTCCCGACGCACACTGGCTGCCGCGTGATGTCATCACCTTCGTGACTGCGCAGTTTGCAGGTGGTAAGTTAGGGGCGTCGTGCAATGGGCATCGATGGCCTTGAGGAGCCGGGCCGTCGTCTGGCGACCTTAGATTCCCCGCGTTCGAGGTTCTTGATGGCAAAAGCCGTGAAGAGCGTTTTATGCTGGCGAGCATGATCGCTCGTATCCACCACGTCAAAGATGTGGGCGTGACTTTCGCCTAGAACCACGTAGTTGAGGTCTTTGAGACATGGTGTGCTATGGCCATAGATATCTTTGATGGCGTGCGTGTCGCCGAAGGATAGCGAGTTCGGTCCGGTGCGTAAGATTGGGGCCCGTCGGTGAGCCTCGAACAGGTCCTTCGGTAGCCACAGGCGCTCAGGTAAATGTGGCGCAGGTCGGTGAAACCCGAAAGTGGCGAGAACCCGGGGTGTTTGCGGAGTCCTTGGGGGTCATGAAAGTAACGAACAATCGAAAGAATGAAAAGGTAGGAGACACTACGAAACGTAGCGGCTGCGAAAAAGACGAGTGCCAACATAGTGAAGGTTGGCTTGTGCCTTGCAACAAGCCTGTGGTGCCTTTCCAAATGTCTTCCATGGGTTCATATTTGTATACACATATATCTCAATAGCCGGAAGATGACTTTACACGTGCTGGGACGGGCAATAATGCCAATTCTGCCTGAAGTTTCCCCTCTCAGACTCTGCCAAATCAAAATGGGATGTCTGAAATATGCCTCATGCAAGTGCTCCTGACAGAGAGTCTGTTTTGTTGGTGGAGTGAGAAGCATGGGCCCGTCGAGTCTTCAGTGTCACTCTTGCTTAGCTGGGAAAGGCAAGTTTCCTCTTTGGGACATGTGGCGACATCGCATCGCATCCTGCTGCAGTGATATGCTTCTGCTGTTTCATTTGATCTTTGCCCCACAAGCTTTGGATGCAGCTCATACACGGGTCCGGGGCAAGTCTCCAATATCCGGGGTATTGGGGAAACAGCGAGGTCTAGGTCTTTACAATGGCGTTTCCCTCAAATGGGGCTACCCCATGCAGTTTGCAGTGCATTGATAGTGCTTGCTGTCGGCCATGCATGGTCCCATTCCAGCCCTTCCAGTAGTCGAATTAACGCAGCCTGCTCGCCAGGATCGGTGAAATACTCTCCGCATATGGAGATTCCTACCATCGCCGTGACAAGGGCAGCCGGACAAGGGGGATTCGAGACCGCCAATCCACACAAACGCCGTGTACAATCCTGCAGCTCTTGAACTAGGGCTTTATCCCTCGACAGGGCACCGAGTCCAAGCCGCGACGCCCGCCGGGGGTCAGACACCGCCAGCAGAATACGACCGAGTTCAATATGCTGCGCCCCTGCCACCTGGCAGCTGTTCATGTGCCAAATCTCAGGAAAGTGTTTTCCGACCATCGGCTCCCGATGGCGATAATGTATAGGCTTGTAGGGCGCGGGCTTTGCCTCCTTCCACCGCTCTTCGACGGTCTTCAACTTGGACCAGCGCTGCAAACGCTCCTCCGCGCTAGAGCGATGATTGTCACCAAAGCAAAACAATAAGAGGTCAGCCACCCACACAAGAATTCGGTTGGTCCAGATGAAATCATTCGCTGCGTCGCACATGGTGTAATCATTAGTCGGAGAGACCGGTAGTCTAAACTCTCGTTGGTAGAGGAAAGCACTCCAGATCTCCTGACGGAGAGCACTCAAAGCAGCGGAATGGCGTAACGAGACAGATGGGCAGGCATGTACGTTGATATCTCGGCTTGGACCATGGATCTTGAACCAAGCATAGAACGATTCATCTTGTTGCGTATTCACATTAAACTGAATTGCATTCAGGTACGCTTCCGAGTCACCTAGTGACGGAGCTAAATCCAGGGCAGTATCAGCATGTCAATTCTGGTGGCCTATAATGCCTTTCGAGCTTTACCTTCTATTTGCTCATAGAATCTAAGAATCGTAGCAGCTGTGAGCACGTCTTCGTTGTACTCTTCCTCAGGGTCATGTGATATCTCAAATAGATACGAGATGCAAATGTCGTGATAACGGATCGCCGTCTCGGGGCTCAGCAGAGATCGAGCCTCTTCCGGAAAACCAAGAGTCTCCAACGACTTGCCACATGATGCTAGGCGATTGAGATGTCCCGCAGAGGCCGTGTATACCGCGTATCGAAGGACCGGACAGAACATGGCTCGCTCGGGAACATGAAGAGCGAAGTGGCGATCGCGGTCACTGATATCAAACTGGATCGGTCAGTCGCTTATGGGTGTTTGATGCTGATAGCCGGCGGTGTGCTTACCCATTGAGCCAGATTCTGGGTAAAATGACGTAGCAAACAAGCCTCCTCGAGGTTCAGGTAGGCAGCGTCGGAATGTGACGTTGGCAGCCCGTGTAGGGGCCCGGGCGAATATCTGCTCCTCTCTGATGCGCCCAGTGTAACTGTGGGGGGATGATTGCGCATGTTCGTGTGCTCCACAGAATAGGAAGACGATCGAGCTGCAACCTTATCTGGTATCGTTGTTTCCGAAGATGCTGTAGATGGAGATCGACCGTCATACCGTTTGCCCTCGAGACATGATGAAGACTGCGAACGAGGGGGAGCTGCTTGAGTTCCGTCACTGGGGAATTTCGCCTTCTTCGCCACTCTATCACCGACCGCACTCACACCACTTGCGTTTCGATACACATCGCAATCGGAAGTGGCTCTATCCCGCGCAACATGGGGCGTCATGTCGACATACGTCAAACGGCCTAAGCTATAAGTATCTGTCCCGGATGTTTGCTCCTTACATCCGAGAGTACGTACGTCTTTTCTTCGACTGGACCCATGTCTGATCTGGTGCGAAATCGAACGTTTGCCGGCGCCGAGGAACCGAGCGGAAGCGGATTCTGGGGGGAGCAGGATCGCACTGAGCTTTGGTCTTCTGGCAGGACTGACACGGTGTATCCTCGGTGCCTAAGATTATAAGTATTAGCTATGTAGCCTTTGTAGACTCCGACGTTGTGATTCTCCTACATCGTAGGTTGTGATCTAGAAATCGTTGAGGGGATGAGCGACCAGCGATTGCTTGGCGGTGGGGTTGACTCACCTTTGCACCCCACGCATGATTGCGCGGATGCAGTCGACGTCGCCATGATAAAGCTGGGCTAGCAAAGACTATGGGGGCGCATGACTTGGGGCATGGTTGGTAGATGACAATCGATGAAGGAGGTGGTGAGGATGAAAACACGATGGAGATGGAAATAGTTGGAGAAGCTCGTGTGCATGCGGGGAAGGAGCCAATTTCCCCGATGGGCGGCCTCGCAGCCTCAGGCATCGATATATCTCGTTCACGAAACGAGCGGGAATACTAGGTAGACTCAATAATTCGACCCGCGGAGAAAGGCGCCTTGCCTTGGACCATCGGTGTGTAAAGGGGGTCTTTGTCGTTCAAATATTCTCTTCTCCACGTACCAAATACACATGCTATCGTGGTCTAGGTTTAAGGATTGTCATCGGCTGATGCCTTCTGTGATATATTCTATACAAATCACAGACGACCAAGTCTGTGGAGTCTGGCTCCTGGTCCTTCTATCTAGTCTAATAATATGCCTCGGCCTACAAAGATGTCTATATACACGTTTCTTCCCCAAGTTGAGTACAGCTGGTTAGGAAGCTATGCGCGTTGACAGGCGATCCTCGTCGCTCGTATTCAGCAAGGCGAACAGCTTTGCTCCGGTAGCCCATCATTCCCCGTTACCGCCTGAAGATGCGAACGTGCAGTCTTCTAGCTTCTGTTCCATATCGAACGCTTTACCCTTTCGATCGTCTGCCATGGGTCCCGGATATCGCCCTTCGCCAGAGGCTCTCCACGTCCCAGAGCCACAATTTGATCGTCTCGGATCACGTACCATCTAAGGTCAAACGCGCCCTTCTTCAAGTTGGGCGCCAAACTTTTACACATATTTGTCTGGAAGCCAGGTAGATCACTCCACCTGCTGTGCCTGTCAAGATTGATGTTGAGAGTATTGGGGACCTGATGCTCGAAAATAGTCACCGGCCGGGTTTCTCCACACCGGAAGGCGAGGACCCGTCCCACTGCTTGGTCAAACACTGCACGAGAGGGGGGCGGCGAGAACAGGTGAACCTGCCGGCACGCCAAGTGTAGATTCAAGTCCAGAGAGGGAACCAGGTACGAAAGAACAAGGACCATGCATCCATTGCCGCTTGTACAGGTGAAATCCGTGATGATGCTGTCTCTCCTCTCCTTCTGGGAGTCCGGATGGAGGATTGCGAACGGAATGCCTGTTTCATGAAGGGCTGCACCGACGAAAACTTCTTCTCCTGGGTGGTATGTCCAGATCACGGCCTTCTCGCCTAGAAGACACACCTGGAGTTTGAGCGATTTCATGAGAGAACGCATCTTTGGTGACCCGTGCAGAAGAAGATCGAGCCCTTCGGACTTGAGGTGTAGAGGATCTCTGTTCCCATCACTCGGACCCGCATCCGAATCTGTTGCTGCTGGCAATGGTTTCTGATAGAAGCTTCTTCCCTGTTCCCCTGCCATTGGTATTCCGTCTTTCTCCAGGGCCTCCCGGAATCTCTGAAGCACCTCGTTTCTACCGTCATTGAGAGCCTCAATGTCAGAGATTAAACTCGTGGAAGCCAAGCGCCGTTCCAGAGCAATAAGCCCAATCCAGGTTGATCCCATAAGCACTTGACGGAGTTTTTGCATGTCCCATTTGTAAAGCGTGTAATTTTTAGGATTCGGTTCAAGGAAATTGCTCTGGTACTTATCCGCACAGTGCTGATAAATCTGAAGTTCTGCGTCCTTGAAAGGAGTGATCATGGGTACCCTTAATGCTGCTGGGGGACACGCGCTGATTTTCCGATCTGAGTCTAACCATACGCAAGACGCTACGGTCCGTCGAACCATCAAGTGTTTTAGTATGGCACGAATGCGAAGTTGCGGAGAATCGATGTTCGGCGCCAGAACATGCTTGAAGACAAACTCTCTACTGCACAAGATTCTTGAATCGTCTGAACCAAATGCAGAATGGAAGATACTAGTCAATCGAGTGGGGTCATAAGCGTTGGCAGGTAGAGGATATGGCCAAAGCAAGATTGGCGCATAGCTGCCAAAATCACGAATGCCACGGAAGAACGGAGTTGCGGTCAGAAGCAGGTTGAAAGGGGCGTGTAACCACATACCGGCGAGCGAAAAGCCCGACCTACGTGTGCATAGCAAGTGCGCTTCGTCGAAGACCGCCATTGAGAACTTTCCTCGTAAGGAACGGGTGCAACGAGCCGGCATGTCTAGTGCGTCCGGATCATAGACTTCCGCGTTATTCCAGCACCATTTTTTGACAGCCGAGGGACCATGCGTGCTTGAGAGTGTCTCGTAGCTGGTCACAACCACTGCGGGGTCTTGTTCCTTGCTCCCGAATACTTCATGCTGCGCCTCCAATCTCGTTACAATGCGGTTCTCGGATGATGCATCATCGCCTTGCCGGTTGGGCGCATAGATCCAGATATGGAAAATATCAGTCATTGCGTGTATTTTCTCGGCCCATTGATCAACAAAGAGAGATGGAGCAACAACAATGAAAGGTTTGCCTTGGTGGCTTCCCGTTCTGACCATGTGCATCATGAGTGCCAGTGCCTCCCAGGATTTACCAAGGCCGACAGCGTCTGCGAGAATCGCTCCTCTGGTCAGACCCATTCGTCGGATCTGGTCAAGTCTGTTTACGGCTACCGGTTGCCATTCTTCTAAAACGGCATCCTGGCGCATTCCTGGTATCTGGAGATATTGTTCATCGACAATGCCCAGGTTGTGACAGGCTTCAGAATGATTCTTGCATTGATACGCAGGATCGTTCAGCCAGCTCTGCTCTTCTTTCACTCTCACGAAGTCCTTTCTCAGGGGTTGGGCTACCTTCCGTTTGTCGACGTGCCAACCCCACTCTAGATCCAAGACTGCTGTGTAGCTCGGCTCGTCGAAGTCGTCTCGAGAATACGTGGAATAGTAAGCCTCGGAGTCTTCTTGAGAATACGTGGAATGGTAGGCCATCGGCAGATTGCTCAGTTTCTGCTTCTTGTGCGGAGTCTCATTCTCGGGGTCGTTACTAGCTGACATATTGGGAATGATGTACATTTCTTCGGCGTTCAATAAAGCTTCGGCCTCTCTGATACTTTGAGGAATTGGTCTGCCCGTGGCTGTCGCGATTCTCATGTATTGCCAGAATGGCTCCGAGCGGTCAAAAATGGGACTACTCCTGCTTGAGATAAGTTTGGGGATGGCGCTTTGTACCTCATCTAGCATTGCAGCTGAGGCTGTGCTCTGTGGCTCATCGCCGGGTTGGGAATTCAATTTGCTCTCTTCTGCTTCTGCAATACCTCTAGACTCCGACGAGGCAGAGCCCAGTGGCTCATCACCGGGCTCGGCTGCCTGACCTGCCCTTGTAGTTTCTGGGTCTTCGAGTGCTTCTACCGGTCCACTGTTCGTCTTACTCTTCTTCTCTCGATCTTCACCAGTAGTGCTAGTCATGCAGATACTTTCCGGAGAGCTTCAGGTTTTCGTTAGAATTGGTCCGACGGTTGCGCTGGAAGACTTCGACTGGTTCGTGTCCGGTTCGTCTCGGGGGTGAACGATATCAGGGTTCGAATGCAGAGATACTCATAAGGATATTGAATTCGGTGGATCTGGCACATTACATAAGATATGGATTCATCGGAAGGATATATAATTAATGGCCAAGCGAAGGAGATCGACGAGATGGCAGAGAGCAAGAGAAAGGTGAGTGTAGCGCAGTGGGTGAGGAAGCTGGAGTGCGCGCGAGGAAGGAAAGAGGAAGCCTGAAGCTCACCAACCACGGCAACAGGTGAATGACACTACTTTGTCTTCAAATCGCTTCTACCCCTTGGGCTTTCTGACCATAACAGAACATACCACAACCAACTCCACCTTTCAGGTGACTCATTCTCTTACCAGCCATCTTCAATCTCACTCTCTTCTTCTTGGTTACTCAATCTCACTTTAAACCACAACATCTACGTCGACAACGCAAATCTACTTCCCATCCACAACATCTACACCTCGCTATTCAAACCCACCACAACACCTCATACCATCACAACCACTGTCAAAATGGCTGTCACTTGGAACTCAGAGGCCAACGCGAAAGTAAGTCACCGTCAAACTACATTCTCTACCATCATCATCACATATGCTTATTTCCGACCTTGCATGACAGCTTTTCCTCGGCGTTTTGACCCAGCTTAGAAACCAAAGTATCAAGCTTGATTACACCGCACTAGCAGATTGTGTGGGTCAGGGTAAGTGCTTTAATGCCCCCGTCGTCAGAGCATCGATACTGATACACGAGAAGGATGCACCGTGCGAGCCGTGCAACAGCAGATGGACAAACTCAGAAAGCAGGTCTCCGACGGCACCAGTAACCCCGGAACCCCCGTCAGCACACCCCGAAAGAAGGCTACGGCTGCTGCCAGCAGTGGTCCCTCCAGTCAGGCTCTTCTGTCTGCCAAGCGCAAGGCGGCCCGCATCGCGAAGCCAAAGACTCCGACCAAGAAGAGCAAGAGTGTGTCCAAGGTTGTGAGCAAGGCGAGCAGTGAGGATGACAGCGAGGACGACAGCGAGGAGGATGCGAAGCCGATCTTCAAGGGAGAAGACAGTGAGGAGGATGCAGAGACTATTGTCAAGGGGGAGGATAGTGATGGCAGCGATAAGACCTACGCCTGATGGCTTGAAGGGGGGCTGTGCTGCTACCTTCCATACTTCTCGCCTTGCCTTGAGGGTCACCAGTTTTTTAGCACCTACTTAGTAGTGTCAATGCACAAGAATCAATCTGGATGATGATATTAAATCAAGTTAAAAATTAGCTCAAGTATCTTCTAAGGGATCTTGGATAGGGAGCATCTCAAAAGGCTACATTGCACGCTGTACAGACATAGTTCGCCGAATTACATTTGGCTCTTTCTAGATATGCTTGTAGGTCTTTGGGTAGTAGATCAACCTATATCCGTCATATTCCGGGCTTATCAATGCGTCAGTAAGACCTAACTCCATCGAGATCCAGCGCCTCACTGAGCAGTTGTCGATAACACCGAGTTGCAAACAAGAACAGTGAATCACGCACCAGACCTCTGCATCACCTCAGTATCACAGTCTGAGATAAAGACGTCTCAGCAAACTCTTCATCTCCTTTCAGACTCAACCACTATCCTCATCAAGCCTCTTCAGAGCAGTCTGCCTATCTACAACAACCGTCATCCTACAGTCATCTCTCACCATCTCCATCTCAGACACCACCGATACACCGACCCCTTCCCATATCCCAACAAAGCCGACACTGAACCCACACCCTCGCAGCTACTGTTCGTTCAAATCTTCATAACCATCTCCTCATCAACCACCACACAAATTCATCCCCTCATCGACCAAACCTCCACCTACCAACCCACCCAAACCAAGCACACCACACAACCACCAAAGCAAGAATCCACAACAACCAAAGCAAGAATACACAACCACCAAGCAAGAATAACAACCACCCGCAAAAATGAAGTGGACCCCCGAGAACATGAACATCGTACGCTTTCACCATCTCCTCATCCCCCCATCCCCCCATCCACCCTTACACCCCAACCCAACGACCATAAAACTAACCCCCAGACCCAGCTCTGGGAAACCCTCTTCGAAACCCACAACCTAACCATCGACATCGACAAGATGGCCACCGTCTGGCGTGAGTACCTACCCGTCCCCAAAATTTCAACCCTACAAAAAGTCCCCCCAACTAACGCAACGCAACCCAGCCAACGACGACGAAAAGCCCACCGCCCGCGCCATCAAAGAGCGTCTCGAGAAGTTCCGCCGCAACCTCAAGAACGGCGGGAGCACCATCACCTTCAGCATGGGTGGGAAGCGCGCGAATACCGAGTCGCCAGAGGCGAATCGGGTGAAGAAGCGGCGGGGTCCGGTCAAGAAGTATGCAGCGGGGAATGGGGAGACTGGGGGGGATGAGGGGGGTGCGCAGGGGGGTGATGAGATGGGGTTGAGCGTGAAGAAGGAGGAGGAGGGAGAGCTGGGCGGTGTCTTTGGTGGTGATGTTGTCTAGACTCTGGGTACCGGCCTATGCTATGGAGATATTCTCGTCGGTTGATGCGGAATTACGGGGATGCATGTGGGTGGGTGGATTGTTTTTCGGGGGTGCTGTGCCCAGGGGTACAGTACGTTTGGTTTACTCGATTTGAATCGAAGGCTAATATGAAATGGCAATGATGATTCCCACTTGAGGACATGGCGTAGATTCTTATTCTGGCTGTGTTGGTGCCCAGTTGTTGTGCTGTATGCGGCCCTGGCTGGCTGAGTTCTCGGGAGGATCCCGAAGATAGAGAAGTTTCTACTCGTGGGTGTTAAGCTACGGAAGAACTATGGAAACACCAATTCGAACCGCGGGTCTATCTGCATGCTGAATTCCAACATAATGTGCCTTAAGCCCATTCGCAATCAAAAGACACTCTGGTAGGGGAAGTTACCAGTGTCAAGATATAAGATCGACGTCGAAGGCAAAAAGACAAAAGTTAAGTGCATCATCCGTGAATCGAACACGGGCCTCATCGATGGCAACGATGAATTCTACCACTAGACCAATGATGCTGGTTCTTCTGGTCTTGGCATGGGTAGTAACATATGAAAATCAACAAAGCAAAGCCGCCCAAGACAGCAACAACAAAGAACTACTACCTAGTAGGACACTATCAGCCCTCGTTCCATGGTTCATTGATGACTACTATGTAACAGAAATACTTGTATTACTTCTGAAGCTCCAGCTCTACTACAGCTACAGCTACAGCTACACTCCTACCCCACTCCAGAAACCTGCTCACAAGAAATGCGAAGGAGTGTCATTGCATATATATCTAGTCGCTGCGCATGCCGCTCGTCATTACCAAAACACGAAATCAAACAGTGCATCTCCCCCGTCTGGCCAGACAAAAAGCAAACAAAATGACAGTCATGCAAAGCAGTCCGAAAGATTCATCATCTGTCTAGGATGACCCCCAAGCCCCTCGACCCCTCAACCCCAGCCCCGCTCCACTTGTCATTCCCCCATTCAATAACTCAAGCCCAGCAAGTGATGGTGGCACCGCTCAAGTCAACAGGAGTCGCAGCGTTCGGGTTGCCATCGAGATCGGCAAAGGTGCGCTGGGAGTTGAGGTAGGCGATGCTTCTGCCGCCGTTGACGATGTTGCAGCTCGACCACTGCGCGAAGTTGGTCAGCTGGGCCGACGAGGCCAGGACCTTGCCGCTGGAGCCGACCGAGGTGCCGCCGTAGAGGGTCTGGATGCTGCGGGTGACGCCGTCGCCGGGGATGGGCACGCCGGCGTTGGCTCCGCTCTGGTCGTTGGCGAGGGAGACGGTGACGCTGTTCACCCGGGCTTCAATGTCCACCGGGGCAGGGGCGGCCGAGACGGCGGCGATGAGGATGGAGGCAATGATGGTGGTGAAGGACTTCATTTTGAATGGAGTGGTTGGTGGATTTCCGAAGATGTCAAAGAGTAGAAGAGTGGAAGAGTGAAAGAGAGAGTTCTTTGGTGAAGACTGGATCTGATGGCTTGTGAGGATGTTGATGTTGATGAAGCTGTATCTCGACGAGCAGACACGACCAATTTATACCTTTCGTCGTCCCTGTATCTCAACACTCGATCATCAACATTGGTACAGATCTTCAACCAGATCTGTCCAGCCTTCACCGTCAATCCTAATCGCATGAGGCTTCCCCCTCCCCAGCCACCACTTCGTAATCTAAAAACAGTGTCCCAGACTTCAGCATGTTGGTATACGAGCACACGGATGCTGTTGATGGTACACCGCAGGGCACAGCCGATGCCACGATCGAGTCGTCCCCCGGCTCGCACAACAGCAGTTCATGCCCGCGTGGATCCGGCTGGCCATGTTTCGTGGTACAGGAGCAATGCACGCGACCCCGGGTTGGTTGCCCATTTCTTAACGATACACGTGACCGTGGGATGTCGGTGGCCTGACATCACAACCCAGCCCTCGATCCAAGACATCCGACTACTCTGCGGAGATCTGCAGGGTGCCGTGAAAGAGACCCATCAGCCAACCCAACTAAGGTGTGGTAGGGGACCCGGGGAGATCGGAAAATGAGGTGACAGACATGGGAAGCCTTGCGGATGCGGGGAGACCTTAGCAACAGAGTTAATACCGAAATAGTACCTCTGAGTGGCTCAGTGACTGTCCGTACCGAGTTAGTATGGTTGAAGTATTGAAATGTAGTGAGAAGTAGTGAATGAACTGCACCGCCTGCAGGTCTTGAAGTTACCCGCACTGAACCCCGGAAGGGAACCCAATCACTGAGTCCCGGCCAAGCCCGCATTCTCGTATTGCCTGCACTCCATGGATTCAGCTCGGCAGATAAAAATAACCCCATCGCTTGAGTGACCCTCGTATGAAACCTGTCTTACACCCTGCCTGCCTGCCTGACTGCTGGCCTGGACTCGAGGCTGAAAGAGGCGGTGACGTGAGCAAAGAAAAGCGGTCGCTTTGTCCGCCCTAATTCACTGCCCTGGATACCATGTCTCAGAACTCGATGATCTGGCAGCAACAAACACACGAGGTTGCAGAAGAGCAGTCGTATTTTCCACGATCATGCTGGGAGAGGGAAAATAGGCTCCCATGCATTAGGGTCGATGGGTGCATATTTCACCCACACCCGCTATTTCCGATCTGTGGGGAAACCTTATGAGGTTACCATTACTCAACTCTCACCACACCACAACATTACAAACAGGCCATAGCTCACAGAATTGGACGCATCCCAACAGGAACAATGGATTCGTAGCAAACGGGCACGGTTGCATGGAATCACGAGGCCCTGCGAAAAACTATCGAGTAGACTATTGAAGCCGGAACGAGAGATTTGTCTGACTTGTGCTTGGCGGACTGTCTCGCAAGTGCTGGTCCAGGAGACCTGTGTCGAGTACTTTCCCGCCTGAGGCTGTCGGAAATCGTGTAGCCGGCACCCCCTTATGCAGACTCAAAGCTGACCTTGACAAGTCATACTCGTACAGGCAAACTAACTCCCTGCTCATACACTCTCCATTTCTGTAGCCCGGACTTCTTTTTCATCTTCCAGGACAGCAAGGCGCGTTGTCTGAGGAATCTCATATGCTGGATAGACTATTAGTGACCAGACCGTCTGTGCTAAGACATTTGACTCACATCTGAATTTGCGCGCTGGAACTCCATTTTCGAACATCACTTGGATGTCCTCCAGGGATCGCCCGGCCGTCTCCGGCAAGAAAAAGTAAATCCACACTGCTGCGCCAAACATCAGGCCACCGTAGATGAAACCCACCCGGGCGCTGAGATTGGCTCCATCCGCATTGAACAAGTACGGAAAGGTGAACGTGACTACCCAGCTGAAGAACCAGTTGGTACCAGTCGAGGTGGCCATGAGTTTGCTGCGGTTGGGGCCGGTCGAGATCTCCGACGTGACCACCCACACGGCGGGTCCCAGGGCAAGATTGAACACGACCATGAAGATGTAGACCATTGCTACGATGACTCGGTCTAAGCTCATGGTCTTGTCCGTGGCCGTTCCCGCCCCACCGACGACGAACAAGACCACACACACCAAAGAGCAGGAAACAAGCAGCATCACCCGTCGACCGAAGCGCTCAACACAGTACTGATTCAGCCAGACCGCAGGCATCGGCGTAAGGTACAGGCCCATCTGAATGAGGAAAGAGTTGGTAATCCCAATTTGCGAAAAGAAGACAATCCCGTAGCTGGTTATAAAGTTGATGCCTGAGGCCTGTTGAAATGCTACAACACCCAGAGTTAGCAAATTGGAATCAAAAGTAGTGAACAAGACTTGTGGAGACGTTGCTCACCCTGAATGGAGCATCCTAGATAGGTCTTCCGTCCATCTACCTTCCACTTGAACAGGTCTCCCCAAGAACTATCGTTTCGCTGCTCTTCCTCAACCATACTTGTGATATATACTATCTCGCTCTCGATAAAGTCCGGCCGATCACCGTACAGTCGTCGAAGGGCTGCTCGGGCTTGCTCCGTCCTCCCCTTCGATAAGAGCCAGCGAGGGGACTCGGGGCAAAACAGTATGAGGCCGGGAACTAGAATGACTGGGAAGACAAGCTGAACTGCCATCGGAATCCGATAGGAACCACTATCTGTTCGATCCTTAGTAGCATAGTCCACAATCACACCGAACAACAATCCAAGCCCAACATCAAACTGGTATACGGAGACCAATGCTCCACGAAAGCGGGTAGGTGCACAATCGGCAACGTACAAGGGGACCAGGCATGAAATCAGTCCCACCGCGTAGCCTGTCAATTTTTAGCTTTGGAATGTCATATGCGACAGCCTGGGTATGTGTATGCTGCTCAATGCTGCCTAGGGGTTTAGAACGTACCCATCAACAGCCTTCCAACGATCAACAAGGCGAGGTTATCAGCAGCGACCTGGAAGATCACACCGGCAGTAACAAAGGCACTAGACACAAAGAGCCCTCCTCGACGTCCAATGCGATCGTCTACCAGGTAGGAGGAGACAGCGCCGACAAGCTCCCCGACGTTAATGATGCTAGTGGTAAGTGACTGAATGCTGGAACTGAGGACATAGCCACCGGTCGCGCTGTCGTAGTGTCCATAAGCTTTGATGAAGGGATCCATATCGAGGATACCTATTTGTCACAGCATCATTAGCTCAGCCAACAGACGGGACCATGATGCTGAATCGTGAAGGTGTATCTCTTCTGAGGTGAGACGTCCTGACTACCTACCAGAATAGTAGGAAGAGTCGAATCCAAACTGAAAAGCAGCAATCGTGATGAACAAGCTGATTGCGATTGCCCTCCATTCTCCCCGGATTCCAAGCATATCAAGAACGTGAGTCATCTTCTTCGCAGAAATTCTTGGGCACAGGCAAGGAGGCAAGTATTAGCACATTCCACGAGGACGATCGACGGAAAGATTCTGGGGGGCCCCGAGCATGTTTTGAGGTTTTATAGTCCACGAAACGAAAATCATCTAGCAGATCCGGGTCTGTGAAATCCGGGGTTTCCCACGGGGTAACGAAGACGTCCGAAAACTGGGGGGAGCCAGACCCGGCTGCTGATAAAAAGCCGATTGCCAAGGACAAAATAGGCCGACTAGAGTTTGGCAGCCGTGGAGTTCGCGCCATCAGATTGGCCGCATGCCTGGTAGAAGCCTCCACCCGGTGCATTGGGCCCGCGTGGCTCGAGTTCTCGTGATTCGTGCGAGATCCACCTCGGCCCGCTCGCTCAAAACTGAGGTATAAGAGATTAGCCGCGCCGAATCGTGAAAGAGACCGAACTGTCGGCCTACTCTGCCTGCTTTTGAGAGCATCAGACTTCTGCCTAAGCTGGTCGCCATTTCCGCCTTCCTCATAATGACCGTCTCCCTTGTCGTCACCCTCCCGACTCATACCATCCCCTCCTATGAGCAACGAGTTCTGGGGAAACCATCGTCCATACCGGGAGTCGAAGAGTTCCGAGGTATCCCTTATGGAAGTGTCCCAGCAAGGTGGCAGCATGCTCAACTCCGTGATCGATTGCCACATGATGCCTTTGACGCCACACACAATGGGTGCGTGGTTCTCCTGTCCAGTCCGTGCCAGAGCACGAATAACCATAATTCTCCCACAGTCCCCGCTGCCCACAACCGCAAGAGCCTAACAATAGTGACTTCTATCAATCGCATCTCGAGTTTCCACAAGATGTGAAAGAGTCCGAGTTCGACTGCCTGAACCTGTTCATCACGAGACCGAGTCCGAACGTTCTTGCTGCTGCCGGCTTCGAGTCCGACAGTCCAGGGTTGCCGGTCTATGTATACATCCATGGAGGAGCATATGGTTTCGGCGCGGGGACAGATCCTATGTGGGGTCAGAGTGACAAGTTCCATGTTCAAAGACCAAGGCTGACTAGTACCTTAGATCCTGCCCGTCTTGTTAGAAAGTCCGTCTCGATGGGCACTCCCATCATCGTCGTGACTATCAATTACCGACTCAACATGTTCGGATTCGCCGCTTCCACTGAAATCATCGACACCCAACCGGAAGGGAAACGGGGTTGCAACTTTGGGCTTGGGGACCAAAGAGTTGCCCTCGAGTGGGTGCAGCGGAACATCAGGGCATTCGGAGGTGACGCAGACCGAGTCACGGTCGGTGGCCAGTCGGCAGGCGGAAGCTCATCTCATGCCCATGTCCTCGAAGCGGTGTTGGGCAAGCGGAAGCCGCTGTGCCAGCAGGGAATCATCCAGTCTGGAGCCGTGGGAGTGCTTGGCCCAATCACGATGGGTGATGCAAACGCTCGATGGGCCACTTTTTGTGAGCAGGTGGGCGCGACCAACGAAAGCACAATCTCACGTATGACTTTCATGCGGAATGTATCGGCAGATGATGTTCTACGTGCGAATGCTGCGTTGGGCTGGTTTGTTTTCCCATTGGTTATGGATGAGTTGACCATTTCCCAAAGACCGAACGGACGTTGGAATGTGCACCTCGGCCAAAGCGGAACAAAGAAAGCTCCAAATGGTACTGCGAGCCACCCCAGAGAAACCATATCTGTTTTAGTAGGGGATACAGATCTCGAGGTCAGTCGTTACAATATAGATTCCGATCATGCAACGTACTAACACAATGAGCGCACAGGGTACACTCCATCATTCATCAGTCAGCCAACTTGAGAGCTTCGAACAGATATGCGATCGGTCGGCTGCCGCCAAGTTGTCTGAAAAATTCTGCAATGCCTTTTTTGCAGCGTACCGTCTGCGTCCAGGTATGAGCAAGGATAGCCTGCACGAACAGGTCTATCGCTTCTTATCGGACATACAGTTCGAGTATCCTGTTCAATGTTGCAAGGAGGAGCTGATGGATTGGGAGAATCCAGGCTACAGCGGCCAGGGTGAAGAACCGTCCCCCCGACCAACCCGGGTACAATCATTCCGCATGGCGGTCGGCAATCCGTTCCCAGGATTGAATCATGGCAAAGCCCACCACTGTGTAGATCTCATCTATATCTACGACTGCTTCGACGAAGCATTGCGTAAAGCGGATAAGTTGCTATCGCCCGGCACAGTACCTAATGCCAGCCTAGTCGATCGTGTTCAGACTGACTGGGTCAATTTTATCACTGGCTCGCGGTCAGCCAACTATGAACCAGGTTTGGCGACCGTGTACCAGCCGGACCGAACTGCAATCACAGTTGACATGGCACTAGACGAGGTCTGGGTGGACAGAAAGTCGCGATTAAGCCTCGTCGATAAATACCCGCAGGAGGCTAGGCAAATTGCCAACATCCTGAGTGGTGGAGGACATCTTTTCTAAACAAGGACGGTATATTCTAGACGGGCGCATCAGGATCGTGTCATGAAGGACTGGTTCCCAGAAAGCGGCAAACTTTGGGTGTGGGTCGTTTAAATCAATGTACACGGTCCAAGTGAAGCGTTTCCCACACTGAAGTTTAGACCATGGGCTATCCTAGCGCCCTCAACGTAGAGCAATCGAGTTGTCCCAAGTCGTTGTCTGTTCAAGGCTTTGTATGTGCCCATAGCCCCGTAAAGCCCGGAGTCCAGCGATACCGAAGCATTTCTGGATCTAGATGGCTTTCTACTTCTTCGAGTGCCGAAGTACGGTCATGGTAAGTATGACCTTGATCCTGGGAAGATCGTTTCATGTTGTGGCTAAGTGCTTTGCGAAGCAGTTCAGCAAAGGTTCGCTGGTAATCCATGTTTGTGGCTAGCACAAATTTGTCCAAAACCTGAAGATTGATCGCGCAATTGCGCAAAATCAGGCTGTCAGATTGTTGGCCTAGTTTCTGGGCCAGGATCAGGAAGATGAAGGAGGATTGTAGGAAGTATGTGCCGAAGTAGCGATACATAAAGCTTAGTCGAGGATCAATCCGGAGGATGTGACGTGCAACCTAAGTGGCCAATCAGTTTGTATGGCGGTGATGAGGACATGTTAATCTGCCAAGGATGGGACGTACGTTTGCGCACGCGACAGCGTGTTCGCCAGCTTTGAGGAAGTCGGGAGATGCCTGCCATTCAAGATCATGATACATGCGAACCACATCCATGCGACCGTGGAGCAGCACAAACATGCAGTGGTACATGTGCAAGCCATAATATGCGACAGCTGGGTTACTACCTCCCGGCAGCAGCTCGCACTCAGGCTCTGCAATTCGACAGAAGTCAGGTTTAACTAGCGATTCAAAGGAATCAAACCACAGCTGCAAGTTCTGGATTATGGTTGTGCGGCTCGTCTCCAGCAGAGCTCTATTGGTGTTGAATGTTGGATGATCGTCGAGGAAGCGATACTCAAGAATGTCGCCTAAGATTCTGTGAACAATCAGCAATTGCTGCTGTAACGCTGCGCTTGTTAAGCTCGTTGCTGAATACCTCGATAGGGGCAAGAACGTCCCAAGCATATCTAGACTATGGACTTGATATCTCCATACCATACTCTGAGGGGGGCGGTTCTCCGATCGAGGCAACGGTGCCGGAAAGTCCCAAATCGCATCTGGGCACGGTGTGGGCAACGACGAGCATTCTTGATCAGTGAGACGTGGGCGCCCATTGAACGATAAAGCGGCATGCCGATCGATGATATAGGTGGCCCACCACAGCCTCTATACTGTCAGCACTAATCAGCTGATATGATGTGGAATGCATACCTTCTTCTTTCTTCCCTATCATCCTCATCCATACCCTGGTCATCCTTGTGTAGATCTAGCTTCTGCACGACGAAATTCAAAAATACCAGCCAATACTGAAGACCCGATTCGAGCGATTTTTCACTAGGAGCAATGGTAGTCAGCATGAACGCAGTCAGCGCATCGTCAAAAACATGGTTGGTGCCAGGAAATGTGCGTGGATAAAAGTGGCGGTTCAGTTGGTCGAAAAAGTATCTTCCTTGTGCCATCCGTCGTGTCGAATCTGCTCGCTTCTTTGCCGTCGGCATGAAACATGAAACACCTGACACGTGTCAGATGGAGTGCCGATTGCCAGTATTGATCAAGAGACTCAGGTACATACACAGAATTGACAGCAGCAGAGTTGGCGAAGTTGGTCGCGGGCTTTCCAGGTCCAGTAATCTGCTTCTTCGGATAAGACGTGTGTGGAACTCCTGATTTGGAGACTCGTAAGAATGTTCCAGCAGCCGCGATGCTTCGTATCGTGTAGGTTGGATGGTGGTGGATCTAGACCTGGGTATTAGAAGAGTCGTCGGTGCCGATGTCAAATGAGCGAGACTTACTCCGTCTCCTCTTTCTCGGGACTGAGAATTGAGAGGCCGTTCAAGCAGTCCAAGACGGGGTAGTCAGGAGCATGCCTCATCAATGTAGGAGATGGTCGTGAGCGGGTTGATTTCCTGCCACGCTTCTTGGGTAGTCGAGTGAAGGTGCATCTTATGGCGAGACCTGCTGGCGTCTCAGTGGGAGGCCGGCGGCATGTACCGGGCGGGGGAGTATACGAGTGCACCGAACACATCCCTGCGAGAGGGGGGTGCATTTGAGCTTGTGACCATGGCACTGGTCGCAGGCAATGTTCGCTCTGGTCTCCATTGAGATTCAGATTCAAAATGAACAATGGTGGACCTTCTTCTCTGTTAGGTGGAGGGTAATGTTCGTGGGGGAGGTGGTTGACTTGGTTAACTTGGAGCGAGCGTAGATCGTCAGCCAAATGGCAGAATGTGGAATTAACGGGCAGAAAACAGGCCCACCGCCTTGACCACCTCACCGCCTGTCCAGGCCCACCGTTTGCCGCCTAATTTGAGATTCTAGACCCTTTCCAGTTGCTTATCGCTTATCCCTCCCTTATCATCATTTCTCCCTCTTGTTCCTGTCTCGACTCGACCATCCATCAGTCATCCTCCAGAGCCTTTCCTCTTCCCCTCCATGATGAAAGAACTCCAGCGCTCGTCCATCTCCATCTCCCTTAAATTTGGATCACGCAGACTTGATTGATCAGTCCACTCGTCTTGTCACACGGCAGTTTCGCATGGTCGCACCGTGCAACTGAAAAAAGCACCACCGGCTTTGTGCGGCTCAGCCCACACTAGGCAGAGCTTATATTTGACTCGCAGAATCCCCTGACGGCAACAATATCTCTCTTTCTTTCCAAACCACCATCAGAATTCATCGCAATGCTCGTCGAGATTGTCACTCTAATAGTCATGTCGGTGGCCCTGCCACTATGGCAGTGGTATCAGCCTCTTTCCCACGCCTCTTCCTCCATACCATCTGCCCCATCCACCACCGACCCCATCTCACACCAACAAAAGGCCCAGCTCCACGAAGTCGCGGATCTGATGTCAGAGATCTATCAAACCCTCGTCGAAATGCGATACCTCGATCCAGCCAGCGTCCATACGGGACCACACAACCTCACAGCACTCGAACCTGAGTTTGAAGAGTTGCAGATCGACCCCGCCGTTCAATATCTCTACAGCATTCTGCCATACGTCGACACGGAAGCCGCTGGCAACCGTGGCTTCTTGCATGGCGGTGAATTCACCGACTTCCGCGACGTCGACCAGGTGGAACAAGGGCGTGATCCCTTCTACGGGTCGCCCAGTGATCCATTTTTCGAGGACGAAGACGGACCGTACATGCGCCCGTGGGTCACACCGCTCACCCAACTTGGAAATCACGGAAGTGTGATTGTCTACGATGCACGTCGTCACTTCATCTGGATAACTGATCAGGAGGGCTGGTCAACGACCGACTTGGCGCTACAAGAGGTTGAGGAGCGGGAACCCACGTCGGCGAACCGCAACAGCTTCGAGCATATTCCTCATCGCCCGGCCGGGGATGTGCTTCGGGATATTGTGCAGTGGTATTATGCACTCGATGAAGTTCCCAGCGGAGGGGATGGTTGGGATGAGTGGTCGGCGTTGGAAGAAGCACAGGTGCGTGGCTTGTACCGGAAGAACGGTTGGCCGGATGCTTTCGATGGGGAGGCGTTTGAGGTCGACCTCGTGAGGGCAATCGCGGCCTTTGTAGTGGAAAGCTTTGCGACTGAACCGCTTGACGGGCTGCAGCAATACAAGGATTCCATCGATGACGGCTATCGCTTCCTCGCGGAGGCGGAAGAGAAGCTGCGATTAGCTCGAACCCAAGAAGAAGAGTGGGATGCGCGCTGGCGCATGTTGCTCGCGGAAGGGCAATACCGGCGCGGCGAGACGTTCTTGGCGATGGCTGAACAGAACGCTAACAGAATGTGTCCGGGGAGCGTGTGCCTACAGCCGCAGGGTCGTCCGCTGTGGGAGGTGCAGTTCTTGCACGAAGAGGTCGAGCAGAAGAAGACGGAATTGGCGGAGGCGGAGCAAGAGTGGTCGGGTGGGTCTGGAAACCAGCGTGTCCTGGGCATTGATGTCGCGCAGTGGAATAAGGAACAACATCTTGCGAAACAGAAACTGGCCATTTACCAGAAAGCGCTCGAGGCAGCACGTCTGGACGCAGAGCGGCTGTGCCCCGGTCAGACTTTCCAATCGAATACTGGGCTGGAGAGGCTTCGATGGCCGTACGACTGGGATCGAGATATTCAGGCTGAGCACGATTTCACCGTTCAAGAGCTCGAAAGCGCAAGGAGTTTGTTGGCCCAAATCCCAGAGGAAGTAGAAAGTCTTCGATCCAAGGTTATGGATTACATTCGGAACACTGAAGCCTGGCTCGAGTACTCGGATTCGCAAGCGAACGAGGCGAGGGAATAGTTGCTCGTCTTACCGGTTGACTTGTTCACTATTTGCTTTGCTCTGACAACACTGACTCTTGTGTAGAGGCTTAGCTTTCGACTGCCATTGTGGTATCGTTTCATACTATTGCGATAATGATTTCATCGGATAATAATTTTCTTTTCAGCTTATCGATGTGGCAGCATGACGCGTAGATCTAAAATCAAAGAACAAACCCCGACAACACAGCATTTCACCAGTAATTGACCTAATGCGATGGTGCTTGATCTAACGCTCCTAGACACACAAAGCCAACTCTAAACAAACAGTGCCAATTCCAGCTCAGGCGCCATGAATCCCTAGCCAGCTCTCACATGACCTCCAGGCCAACAAACAAACCCAAACAAACACCTTAGAACTCCTCTCCATCCCTCAGCGCCCGCTCACAACCAATCCTACCACCTTTATCATCACCAACACACACCTCCCTCATAACGACACCCAGACACGGACTTATCCAAATTCCCAGCCTCGCACAACCACGCCATCACGGAAAGATACTCCTCCATCAAGCCCACCGTCTCCTCCCCACCAAAAGTCAGCGTGTTCATGATCACCTCCAGCTCCAGGATGTCATCCGGCATGAGGGTCGGCAGCCAGATAAGGCCGAGATCATAACCCCCACGGAAATCGACCATGCGGATCGGATCGGTCTCCTGCTCGGAGTATTGCTCCAGCCGCCAGTTGAAGACCTGTGTGAAGGCCGCCTGCTCGATGAACGTGGCGTCGTCCGTGCCGGCAGCCGCGTCCAGCTCGCGCAGTCGGCTCAACACCCGGCTGAAGGGGGCATGGGTGTACAGGCTTTGGACGTCCTGGTCCTCCGCGAGGCGGGTCAACAGCGACCGGACGGTTTCAGTGAGTTGTACCGCGACGCGCTCGACGAAGAACCCGATCATGGGACCGTCGATCTCCAGGGGGTTGGGGTGATGATGCTGGACCAGGGAGTCGTCGCTCTCTGCGCCAGGCCAGAAACGCCCCGACGCGGCGACGTTGAACACCGCTTCAGACACGCCGGTCCGGTGCGCGTTGAGTAACACGCATGCGGCTTTGCCGATCACGGGGACGGGGACGTTCGACGCGCGCCGCATCTCGGCCAGTCCGGGCAGGTGGATGTATTTCTTGGTCGAGCCGCTGATGAATGGGTCCTGGCCTTGGGCCCGGACCTCGTTCCAGGTCGACAATCGGGGCCAGGGAACGTCTTGCGCAGCCGAGACACCTTTCAGGCGCTTAACGTGGAAGTCCACGGCATTCTCTGCGGCTTGGCTGTAGATGTACTTCTGGTAGTCGCTGATGAACCTGCCGTAATGGCGGAAATCCATGCGCGGAAGACCATTGTTGGCCAGAAGGTCCTTGAAGTCCTGCAGCCACCGGAAGATCGTCACTGCATCGTAGATGCCATGGTGACAGTGCATAACCACTCCCGCGCGTGAAGACGCTCGGTCTTTGAAGATGGTGGCCTTCAGGAACGGGCCGGGCAACGCGACACACCCCTCCCAAGGGTTGTCGGCTTTGTATCCGGTTAAGGAGGAAATGTGGTCTACCTCGTGGCTGTGGCCGATGTGCAGCTTCATCCATCGTGAGGTAGGGCGCATGATAATCCATACCATTCGGTCCTGGTCGTATTGTGCGACCGTGCTGCGAAGAAGTGGATGTCGATGCAGCCACAGGTGAAGGATCGCCTCGAGATACTCAGCGCTCAGACCTGGAGCGGCAATCCAGGAGGTGCGGATCTTGAACGCACTGGGACTCAGTGTATCTTTCAGAAACCAGGTCTGAGTGTCGGTGACGTGCATTGTCTCTTCTACATCATCCCAGCCGAATCCGAGCGGACGAAGCGTCGACTCGCCGGCTTGCTGAACTCGTGCTGGGTCAAGATAGGTATGCTGAGCGCCGAGCGTGGAAGCATGAACGCTAACGACTGGTGTCTTCATGCTGGCTATGCTACGATCGGCGATGAGATGCGCTTGCTTCCGGATTGTGTCGTGCTCGATGAGATCTTTCCGGGTGACCCGCCCAAGCCGCTTTGTGGCAGTATGCAGGTATTGGATCATCATCATGCTGTCGGCGAAGGTGCGGATGGGAGCGTC